GGTGAAGGTGGGATGGATTAATTATATTATATTAGAATTAAATATTTAATAATAAATTAATTTAATAGTTTATTATTTCATAAATAAAATTTTAAAAAATTTTAATAAAAATCTGATTTTGGTAATTTCAAACTTTTTTTCTTATTTTTGAAATAGGCTAAACTTATTCTCTTGAATATGTAATCTTCCCACAAAAGAAACACAAAAAATTCAGATATTATCCAAAGATAAGAAAAAATCTTTGAAATAAATAAGCTAGTACATAAATTTACTTATTACTTGGAAACCATTGTCGTGAAGTTTTGGATTGTAGGGGTGGAACAGCCCCTCGGTTTCATAAGTCTCAGAACTTAAATTAAGAAGAATGTACAATTAAAGCACGAAGTTCGTTCAGAGCTTGACAGGGAAGGGGAGTCGGTTGTTTATCTACACCAACATAGTCAAATAAGACAATTTTTAATTTAAAAAGCCAAAAATAAGAGAAGGAAAAACACTTACTAAACTCGCAGTAAAATCATGGCACAATCACATAAGGATGGGAGTCATTAAATAGAAGTCCACAATTACCGCGAACTAAGAAGAAGCTCTCTTTCCAATTATGTACTTTATTGAGAGTAATGACATGCTTCAAGCATGCCCTAGGAGAGTGAGGGGAAAGATGTAGTACCCTTTCTATGGGTTCACTTTATTTCCAACCTTCATGGGATGGTAAATGGATTAAAAAAGTCTGATGAAAGCTTTGCCCCATACCCGCAGTATTCCATAGAAAAAGGACCTCGTTGAATAGGACCGATATTGAAGAAAGAAAAAATATTACGAAAAAAATGATGAAAGGAAACTCTAATCCTCATATCCATGGAAAGCTTTTAGATAGCTATACAGTCATGAGGAGGGCAATTCACAGTTTGGAATTGTCAAGTACAAATCAACTCTGTGTCATTAGGGATACCAAAGCAGTCCCGAATTACACTCAACTTCTTCTCAGTAATTGATAAGTGTATTTTGTACACTTAGTTAGATCATTAAATCAGAGTATTTGTTAGTGATTTGGATATTAATTTTGTGTTAATTATGTTTGTTAGGTTGAACTCAGTGCAAATTGGTGAATTTGAAAAAAAGGGAACGAAAAACTTGCGAAAACAAAGGAAATCCAAAGTTTGGGGACCAAAGTGTAAATTTTAAATAGTTGATTCAGAGCACAAAACGATGATTGAAGATCATATATGATCAATGGAATGCAATTGGAGGTCAAAGGAGTGAAACATAGTGGAAATATTTTCACAAATCAATTTACAACTGAAGAAGTTATGTTCCGAATTTTTAGCCTTAACTTGAGACCCATTGTTTGGATATCAAAAGATCGAATTGGAAAATTTGTATTTCTAAAATAAGTGTAACCCTTTGAATTAAATTTCTAACGCATTTTGAATCAGCTCAATTGGATACCCGTGGAGAAAGTTATGACTAAAATACCAATAACTATTCAGAGATAAACCCGTGCGCGCAGACAATTCATGGGGCGCGCATGGCACTATTTTCCCCAACTCAAGAGCCATTTGGTTCTACGGTGCGTGTGCAACACTTATACCAGTGCGGGCACACATGCCTTTTTCACAGACGAATCTTTAGTTGTGTTTCGCGATTCAAACTCTTTTGGAAACCAAATTGAACGCAATTTCATAGAAAACTCTCTCTTGCCTCTTCATACACTACAATTTCATCAAATT